ATGGCAGCATCAACGGCGCCACCAACGGCACCGCTTCCGCCCAAGCTGCCAGCAAGCGATTTTCTGATATCCCCGGCACCATCGAAGTTCCCGTCCAGGAAGATGACGACTTTATCAATGTCGAGATCGACCTCAATAACCTTGTCGACGACCCGACAGAGCTCTGCGACATGTTCGAGAATGAGCACACCGCGCGTCTCTACTGGATGACAATAGCCCTTGCCTACGCGAAACAGAACAAGACCGACCGTGCCATCGAGGTCCTGAATCGTGGCAGCAATGCCATGCACGATACAACGCCCCTAGAGAAGATGAGCCTCATCAGTTGTGTTTGCTGGATGTATCTGCGCAAGAGTCGAGAAGCGCCCCGTGTCCCCCCCGAGGGTGCGCTTTTATCCGAAGCAAAGACGAAAGACCACTACCTCCAGCTCGCCACCTCGTCCCTCAACGAAGCCTCCCGCATCAATCCAGCCTTCCCTCCGCTCTTCCTGGCCCGCGGTGTCCTTCAGCTTCTGAAGGCCTCTTTGCAAGCTCCTTCAAAAGCTGCTGCTGGGGGCCCGATTGACCAAGCCAAAGCCGACCTCCTCAAAGGTGCACTGAAGTCTTTCGAGCAGGCCAGCAAGGTCTCACAAGGCAAGAACATGCTGGCCTTGATGGGAAAAGCGCGTGCATTGTACGGACTTGGAAATTACAAAGATGCCCTAACGGCATACCAAGATGTCCTACAAAAGACGCCGGATCTCGTGGATCCAGACCCGCGTATTGGCATTGGCTGTTGTCTCTGGCAACTTGGCTATAAGGACGATGCAAAGCAAGCTTGGGTAAGGTCTCTCGAGCTGAACCCCGAATCCAAGGCCCTCATACTACTTGGTCTGTATTATCTCGACGCCAGCAGCAAGGTTCCCACCCACAGTCCCGAGTTCATCAAGCTTTACAAGAAAGCCATGACCGACTTCACCCAGAAGTCTTTCAAGATCAACAAGAACCAGCCGCTGACCTGCGCCACATTTGCCGGTTACTTCCTCTCCAGTAAGAATCTCTCTCATGTGGACTCGCTAGCAAACAAGGCAATTCAATACACCGACGTGAATGCCATTGCAAGTGATGGGTGGTACTTGCTAGCAAGGAAAGAGCACTACAGCGGAAACGTAGAGACAGCTACGGATTACTATCGACGTGCTGATGAAGCCAGAGGCGGCCTCGAGAGAGGCTATCTCCCCGCGAAATTCGGCGTGGCTCAGCTATCCGTGCTCAATAATGATCTCGGCGAGGCAAAACTTCGTCTCGAGAAAATAATTCAGCCAGCCGGTAAACACGAGCGTAATTACGAGGCCATGATTCTCTTAGGGACACTATATGCCGAAGAAGTCTTTGCGAATCAGCATGCCGCCACCAAAGAGGATAAGTCGGCAGAGATGCGCAAAGCCATCGACTACTTGGAACAAGTCCGCACAGCTTGGAGAGACCCTAAGAAGAACCTATCACCGGATTCTTCTATTCTTCTAAACTTGGCTCGTTTATATGAGAGCACCCAACCAGAGAAAGCGTTACAATGCCTTCTTCAAGTCGAACAACTTGAGCTAGATCAAATTCCTTCCTCTGAACACCCAGAAGGGATCGAGGATGCGTCAGAGTTACGAAGCATCCTTAGAAAGAACCTCCCACCTCAGCTCTTAAATAATATCGGCTGCTTTTATTCCCAGGCGGAAAAGCACGGCCCGGCGACCGATATGTTTCAAGCAGCTTTGAGCTCGTGTATGCGAATTGGGGAAAAGGGTGAAGATATGGATACCGATGACTTGGTTACGACTATCAGCTTCAACCTGGGTCGGAGTTATGAGTCTCAGGGTCTTACAGACAAAGCAGTCGAAGTATACGAACAGTTGATAGCTCGTCATGACGACTATACAGACGCCCAAGCACGGTTGGCCTATATCAAACTGCGTAAAAACCCCAACAAAGAAGGCCCCGATGCCGTCGCCAAGCTTTATCAAGCAAACCCAGCCGACTTAGAAGTTCGCGCTTTGTACGGTTGGTATCTGGGACGAGTCAATTCGCGCAAGAAGTTTGCGAATGTCAACGAGGATCCCGAGCTCAGGCACTACAAGCACACTCTCCAGAACTATGACAAGCATGACAGATATGCTTTAATTGGTATGGGTAATCTGTACATGATGGCTGCTAGAGAAATGCGACGAGAGACGGAACAAGAGAAACAAAAACGATCTGCAACCTACACTCGCGCAGTGGAATTTTTCGATAAGGCGCTACAGCTAGATCCTAAGAATGCCCACGCTGCCCAGGGCGTAGCCATTGCGCTAATCGAGGACAAGAAAGACTACACTAATGCGCTTCCGATCTTCTTAAAGGTACGGGAAACCATCAAGGATGCTAACGTGTATATCAATATCGGCCATACCTATGCGGAATTGCGTCAGTTTTCCAAAGCAATTGAGAACTACGAGATTGCATTATCAAAAGAGGGCAAGAGCAACGACCCAAATATCTTAGCATGCCTAGGACGCACGTGGCTTAACCGAGGCCGGTCTGAGCGAAACTTAGACGCTTTCAAGACAGCCTTGAGCTACGCGAAGAAGGTAAGGACCCCCCTAGAAGCGAGTATGTATCGCAGCAAGGCTGATCATGTATTCAGGCTCTAGAAGTCTCACCAGAACAAGTCCATTTCAAGTTCAACGTTGCATTTGTGCAGATTCAATTGGTTCAGCACATTATGAGTGTGGCTGAGACTCAGCGTACGCTCGTGCAGTTAGAAGAGGCCATGGAGGGCCTAGAAGCAGCTATCGTGGCTCTTGATGAAATTGCGCAACATCCACAGCCTCCATACCCAAAGGTCGATGTGGAACAGCGCGCAAACATGGCACGAAACACACAGCGCAAACAACTTGGACGACAAATTGAAAGTCAGAAGGAATATGAGGAGAAGAATAAGGAGAAGATTGCAGCTGTCCTTGAAAGACGGCAAGCCGAGGCAAAACGCCGTGAGGAGGAACGGCAACAGGCACTCGCCAAAGAGAGAGAACGGCAGGAGAAAATCCGTAAAGAACGGGAAGAGATCGCGGCCAGGGAAAGAGAGCGCGACGAGGCAAGACAGGCTGAGGAAGAAGCTGAGCTTACTACCGATGAGGAGACGGGAGAGAAGGTCAAGCGGAAGCGGAAGTCAAAGCCTCGATCAGACGATCAGCCCAAGAGTCGGCCGCAGAAAAAGAAGAAGGCCAAGCGGGTCGAAGAGGAGGAGTCCGACGACGAGGGCCAACCCAAGAAGAAACGGAGACTGGCTAAGAAAGATAACAAACAGTACAAGTCCGCAGAAATCGTCGTGGACAGTTCCGATGAGAGCGGTGACGATGATGATGCTCTCGAGCGTGCCGAGAGAGCCATTGAGAATCGCAGTTCACCTCTTTCCGATATTGATGCTACTTCGAAGGCCGACAGAGTAGAAGATCATATGGATGTAGACGAGACTGTTAACCAGGATGAAGAGGAGGAGGAGGAGCAGGCTGCTGCACGAACTACTTCGAAACGTGCGAGGCGGGGCAGGGTTTTAGATGATAGCGATGAAGATGACGAGGAAGAACCCGGTAGCCCAGCCAAGGCTGCAGCGGGTGGCCGCTCTGGTGCCGACAGCGAAGATGAGGCCGGTGCAGCTGACACCAGCATGGCTGATGCAGGCGACGATGAAGAAGAAGAATAGATTGTACAGTATAAAGCAGGGAACTCTGCCAGCTGACCGAAGTCTGGCTATAGTTTGCTTCGAGTTTGACGATTCCTAAATAGGCTGGTTCATATAAAACATCTAGGCTAGGCGCTGGAGGCGACGGCTTTGAGTTTGAAATAGTGTATCAGCCATTGGCCAACAATTGGGCCCGAGCGTAATAAGAACATCAGAATCAAGACTCTTCGCTTCGTGTACGTGACGAGAAAATAGAGGTGGTTGACGTTTGGGCATGCACATGGCTAATCGGGTTCTTTTTAAGATGCTATAGGCCACTGGATAATCTTCACTGCCTCGTGTCATACAGTACTGACATTAAGCGGCTCAACCTCCCCAGCCTGCTGTATGGGAGAAGATGGTCGAATGATCTGGCCCTTGTGATACTCAGATAGCAACTAGACCTACGCACTGAATGCCCTCGACCAAATCATTTGTAACTCCCAAAATGATTCCTCATATTGAAACCTTATGGTAAACGAAACGGTTAGGCTCCTTTTTAGCCATTCCTTGCGCTTCTTTTTCGTTTTCTTTCTTTCTCTCCCTCCTCCACATACGCCTGAAACAAACAAGGCATTGTGTCTGGTCAAAGCAGGTTACAAAGCAGCTTCATAACAAGGATTCGAAGTGAGGAGTGAGGGAGGAAAAAGAACAGACCATCATTTAAGAAGATAACGACAAGTCTAAACTTCGAGAGTGTTGTAATGCGAACACCTACCTAAGCTTCCCTCTCCAGTCATCACATATTCAACTCTACGTCTGCAACCCAAATTATTCCTTTCCTCTTTTCTCCCTTACTTCAAGTTTCTAACTGGAAAGACGGTAAGATTTACACAATGTGCACCAGAATCACGCTTTACTTTAAGGGTATGTGCCATAGTCGGCGGACACATGAATATGACGCGATGGATTGCGAAGTGAAGGGTGCGGCGAAGTGCCCCTTTTTGGTTGATGGTCCTGTGCTCGAGACTGGGTTTGACTGTGTGCTGTGTCGGCCTAGACCGAGGGGGCGTTGTCGACGGGATGGAATTTTGGGATAAGTAAACCAGCTAGGTTAGCTCCTTTTGGACTTGTTAATCCAATTTTTTCTTGTGCTTGTAAAGTCGGAATTTTCAAAAGATGAAAATTGAAACTCAACTGAATAACATTTTGGGTATCTAAATACCACAAGTTTTGTACTACTCTGACAAGTAGAATGGCTTTTGATTTTGACTGATTTGTGCGAGCGATGATGTGATGAATTGGTTTAACGGAGTCGAAATTCCCATCAGGTGTTATAGTATAGTGGTTAGTACGACACGTTGTGGAGGCGTGTTCCAATACATGCACTGCAGCGCCGTGTAGACCCAGGTTCGATTCCTGGTAACGCCATAAAACCTGAATCAATAATTTTTTCTATTTCTTATTATCATCGTTATATCTTTTCTAGTTGGTTTGACTAGATCATGCACCGGCCCCCCAGCCTCAGTGTTATAATGACTACTGCAGGGTATCTGTCTCTTCAGAATGTTGTGGAGGGGTAGTGTTCTACATCATATAGACCCGTCCAAAGTACTTCTGGTCTTCGCTTTACAAAGTCTATCGGTGTTATTTTTTTTCTTTCTAATCATACAAATTCCGCGCAAATCTAGTACATGCCGCCGTGAACATTCCGCCTCGCCGGAGGAGGCGAGGTAACATTGGGGTTGCCGCGGTCGAACAGGCGGTTGCCGACGGGGTTGTACCCCGGCACGAAGGCGACACCCCAGGGCTCGAGGAAGTTATCGTAAGTAGCAGCGGGCTTGGTCGCGGCGATGTGCGTGAAGGCCTTGTTGGTACCCTCGCCTAGCCCGTCCATGGGGTACTCGGCGATGATGTTGTCGTAGTCCGACGCCGGGAACTTGGGGTGCGGGCCGGGGTAGTCCATGTTGATGGACTCGACGATGAAGGCCACGTTGATCTCCTCGCTGAACAGGCCGATGTTGCTCGTGCCGTGCAGCGCGATGCCGTGCCACACGTTCTGGATGCGTCGCGGGTCCCACTCGCCCTTGACGCCGTTCTCGCGCAGGAAGTTGGCCGTGTAGATGGCTGCGTCTACCTCGAAGCGCTTGTCACTGTTTATAAGAGGCCCTGGTTAGTGACTTGTTCTTTTATCGTATAGCCTGTGTGGTATTATACGTACGGCGAAACGAAGGGGGAGTTATCCCTTGTGTCCCAGCCCAGATCGTGCAGGAGGCAGGCCACGGCGTGAGCCTCGATGTCGATCTTGGCAGCCAGCGTCGCGTTATTGTGGATGGTGGCCGCGCCGTACAGCCATGTCCGGTACACGTGGCGAATGAGGAAGGGCTCGAAGTTGGCCTCCATCAGATCACGAGCCTTGCGCACCAGGGGCGTGTCGATGACCTTGATTCCGGCAATGGTGGTGTAGGGCACCGTCGAGTTGCTCGGGCAGCTCTTCTGCGGTGCGGCAGCCACAGAGGCGGCGAGAGCCAGGGCGGACGTGATGCTGGAGAACTTCATCTTGACTGTTGGCTCAGGTTGGATCGAGAGACGAGACAAGGAGACTGGGAGGGAGGTGATGAGATTTGGGAGGCACTGCTTGATATATATTTTATTTCCTATCTACACTACCTACATACAGTACAGTATAATCTTGGTTCTCCATCTTGGCGATCAGGTACAATGTAGATGCCTAACTATTTCCATGTTCGAGTTTGCGGCGTCTAGAATCTGACTGTAGGAACTAACTTGCAAGGTTTTTGAAATTTGGAATTGGCATCTCATCTTCCTGCAATGTATGACCTAACCCGCCATGTCAATAACACCCCCATTGACGCTCACTTACCCTATTACGATATAATGCCAAGAGTATGGCATCGGTTTGTCTAAAAAGAGGTCGTGCGCTGGTGCGGTGTAAGAGGCGTCCAGTGCTTCTTCGGAGTGTATCAATTTGGATTATTAGTAAGAGTAAGAAGTTATTCTTCGAGTGAACAGCCCCAACGGCTCGGCCAGCCCCGGCACTGTGAGATCCATGACTGCGCTACCATCTAAACAGGGTCCAGTGATAGGGTAGACGGCACTCCAAATCATCTAGAACCCTGCAACGGAATTTGATAATCACCTCTCAGCCCAGAACCGAGCCGGCGGGCAACGGTAGTGATCCGCCAGTATTACCCCTGCTTGCAGATACGCTTCCACGCCGCAAGGTAATCCATCCTACGCTAATAGTCTTCTTAAGTGTAAGTTGAGCTGGTTTAAGTGATAAGAGTTCACTAGCTTACATAAAGAGAAATACGATAACATACTCCCGAGTCTTCTAATAATTCTATGCCTTAGAATTCTAAGTGATAAAGTTGAAATTTACAGTAACAGTCCGCAACTCGCTGTCAGTAGTGGCATAATTGTCTTGGCATGTCAATTCCATATTTTTTGTAATTAACGCTCCCACGCAAGCTGCTGTGCCTCACAGACGCATGATTAGCCAGGTGTTAGCAGAACATGATTACTTTACGCCAAGAGGCTTGTAGTGCTGCTATGATAATACCCAGTTCCAACAGACAGGGGCTTTTCATAGTGTAGAAGAGAGTAGGACTTCTATACCGCCCTCACACCCTGCGACTGTTCCAACATTCAATACTATTCTAAGCTTGAATTACGTGATATGTTGCAATATTCTCTTAGAAGTTGATACTGTGTGCCTCTCTTGCAAGTTCCAGAACTGCACTAGGTATTGTAGGGTTGGTTGTGCTAAAAATACTCCAACGCGCTTGAGAGGAACAGGATCGCCCCGCTGGCTTATATAACTTTGCTGGTTATCTGGGGTAGACGAAATAAGGAGCCGGTGCGGTAAATGAGTTGTATGAGTCGTAAATATATCCATTTGCATTTGCTAGGTCTAAATTGAGATCTTCGCACGCAAATTCATGCGCAGTATATAGTTATAAGCATGTCCCTATTGCCATTGGTATAATTCATACATGGAGAACGAAGAAAGTGTGCCTAGACCTTGCTTGGTAGCCTCCCAACTCACTGGAAGAGACGTTGGAAACTTGTTGGCAATCCTAACGGCAGACCTCCAGTAACACCACTTCTGTTCAAGAAGTATCTAAGGATGTCTATACCAATACTTATACAGAATAGGCTCTCGTGGTAGTTATCACATGATAGGTCTAATTTGGACGCTTGTTATTCGGAAACAGTTCCAAACATCCTTGCTCGTATCTAAGCAGCGCTCTGTACGGTGACATAATCAGTTACGAACAAGGCGAAAATAAAACGAGAATTCGACACCTGGCTGTTGAAAGGCAAGATAGTCACCCAAGTCCTTCCACTCTCGGCAAGTTCACAAAGATCACAAAGTACATTTCTGGATTATGAAATTGATTTCATTATTGAGCACTACCTAGTGACGTCGCAACTAAAGTAGGCGTACCACCTGCAACCTGTACCCTTACTACTCATTATCCGTAATACAAATTGCCTATTAAACTCCGCAACCTTTTGGTTGTATGCCTTATACTATCATGCCATCATTCGTTATTTTTTAGTTTTCCCCATAAACATCTTGAGAGGATACTTAATCGTAGATATCCTCATCCATGTCATCAGGTGCGATATCGTCCACGGCATCTTCCTCATCGATCTGCATGTCTTCCTCGTCGCCAATTTCGCTGTCGGTATGGTTCGGGAGCACTTGGATCTTGTTACCAACAAGAACGACTCTTGCGGTCTCTCCGTCCTTGATGGCTCCGCGAAGAATCAAGACAGCCAGGCGATTCAGGACTTCCTTTTCGATGAGTCGTTGGAGAGGCCGGGCACCGTAGGCAGGAGAATAGCCTGCGTTACCCAAGTAATCCTTGACCTCATCCGATACTTGGAGTACGACTGAACGATTGTTGTCTTCCAATCGCTTTTGTATCTCGGACAGTCGAAGATCAACGATCTTGCGAATCTCACGCTTAGTCAAGCGGTTGAAGATAACGATCGAGTTGATACGGTTGAGGAACTCTGGCAGGAAATAGTTCCGCAGCGAGTTCATGACCAGCTCTCGAGTGGTTGGATCAATCTTGCCATCCCGGCCTGAAGGTCGAGCGAGGAATTCTGCGCCCAGGTTGGAAGTCATGACGACAATGCAATTCTTGGCATCCACAACACGTCCTTGGCCATCAGTGATACGGCCGTCATCCATAAGCTGCAGGAGAACAGTCAAGATCTCCTTGGCGGCCTTCTCTACTTCATCAAACAGAAGGATAGAGAAGGGTTTCCGGCGCAGAGCTTCTGTAAGTTGACCGCCAGCGTCATGTCCAACGTAGCCCGGGGGGGCTCCTATCATTCTGCTGAGGGCATGACGTTCCTGGTACTCGGACATGTCGAAGCGAATCATTGCCTTGGGGTCGTCGAAGAGGAATTCGGCCAATGCTTTGGTAAGGAGAGTCTTACCGGTACCCGAAGGACCGCAGAACAGGAAGCTAGGTGGCTGGTTCGGGTTGCTAAGTCCTGATCGTTGCAGTCTGATGGCGTTACTGACGGCTTGGACTGCCTCCTTCTGTCCGACCACAGTCTTAGTGAGGACGCGTTCCATGTTAATGAGTTTCTCCTTCTCCGAGGTTTTCAGTCTCGTGACTGGGATACCACTCCATCGAGACACTATTTCATTGATCTGGTCAGGACCGACAACGTCTGTTATCATCGAGTTGCCAAAGTTCTCGGGATTCTGACTGAGAGCAGCATCAGCAGCCGCTTTCTCCCTCTCGAGACGCTTGATATTCTGTTCTGCCTCGGGAATTGCGTAGTACGTAAGGTCAGCAGCTCGAGCATGGTCGCCCATTCGAGCGGCATCTTCGGCCTTGACCTTAAGCTGGTCAAGCTTAAGCTTTGCCTCTTGGATTTCCTTGCCACGTTTCCTTTCACTTTCGTACTTCTCACGGAGAGGCCTCAATTCTTCCTCGACATTCTCTGCGTCTTGTTTGGCAATCTCGAGACGAGCCTTCGAAGCATCATCTTTCTCTCGAGACAATGCATGGATCTCAATTCGTAATTGTCGTAATCGTCGTTCGAGCGAATCGATTACCTCTGGTTGGGATTCTCTCGCCACTCGAACGGCGGCAGCAGCCTCGTCAATAAGATCAACGGCAGAATCGGGAAGACGACGTGAAGTCAGGTAACGACCTGCTAGATTCGCGGCTGCCACGAGGGCACTGTCGGCTATGGTAACACCGTGGTGAACCTCGTACTTCTCTTTCAGGCCACGTAGAATTGAGATGGTCTCGGTAATGGTGGGTTCCTTCACTATCACCTGTTGGAATCGCCGCTCGAAAGCGGCATCTTTCTCGATGTATTTCCGGTACTCAGCAAGGGTGGTAGCACCGATACAGTGAAGTTGACCACGCGCC